CAGTGCAAGGACACAAACTGCCAAACTATATGCCTTGTGAGGATCTATAGAAAGCATACACCACAAAAACCATGTGAAGAAATTTTCCTAATCCAAAAAACAAAAAATGGTAGCTACATGCCCATTCCACATGTACCATCCGCAGAACAAAAATAACAAAGACCACATCATAACAGTAAAAAAAAGGAATGGATGGTTAATAATAATTAATAAAAAACCATTTTTAGAGCTTATTCTACATATTGGTTTTAAAAAAAAGGAAAGTATATAATGAGACCATTTACTTTTGGTACAAGATCGTCGCAATTAATCTTAACCATTGGATGTTAAATTTTCGGTGGGCTGCATTTATTTCTTTGACCAAGCTCAAAGTTTAAAAGAATTTTTTTCAAACTTTAAGACACGCCTAAGCTATCAGATTTTACATCGGATGGTTGTAAGTAACTGTAATCTCTTTATACCAAAGGTGAATAGTCTCATTGTATAAAATCCCTAAAGATACATATGTAGACACTTAAGCAAGATCATGATATACATTTGAATCCATAAATTGCAACCATTACAAAAACTGTGACACAACCGGGATAAATTATTAATAAATTTATACCTTCTCCTGCCCCCAACATCCCAAACAGTGTAGTTGATGTTTATATATTCCATTGTCTCAACGTTAAAGCCTGGAAAAAGAAATTATAAAATTTTATCATTAAAGGTGTACCTTTTCTCCTGAAGGACTTCATTGAAATAGCATGAAAGATCGCTAGGTGAAGCACCTTTTTGTTGGGGGCAAAATTCCAATGTAAGAGAAGTTTGCATAGGAAACATGAGACCGATATCACATGGAGAAACAATAGAGAGGGAGAGAATGGGAGAGAGATTTTAAGAAAGCAAAATTTGCGGAATGCTCCCCTTTCTATTTCTAATACGAATTTTTTGATTATTTAATATGATCAAAATGTTCCTCTTTTTATTTCAAATATGAATTTTTTGATTTTTTTAATACGATCAAAGATATTAGTGCAACCAATATCTTGTGCGTGCTCATTCTCTTTCTCTGCGAAATTTAGTTAACCTATAAAATAAGTGTGTAGGTATTTCTTTGGGAGAGAGAAAGAATGGAGAGAGAGAGAGGGCAATCATTGCGGCTATAAAATATAATAGATAGATATTAATTCTACTCATGCTACTGCTAGATGGTAGAGATTTAAGAAATATCCAATTTGTCTCTAGAACTGTTTGTCAAGGACTTGGGAATATATCTGATCCACCTCTGCAGCTGCCTGCTGAATGGAACTTAAGAATATATAGGTTCTACCCCTTCGACTGCATGCCAGGAACTTAAGAATCGAATATTATGTCTCTTTTGAAAATGTGCATTTACTGGGCGTTTATCTCATGGGAACTTGTAGGGAAGAGTAATCGATTATACTGGTGGATATGATAAATTTCGTATGAAAATATTTATATAGTTCTTTGGGCGAGTTTTGTGATCCCAATGTTCTAACCCAGTATGCTCTCAAAAGGACCTAGGCCATACAAAATACCAAGAAATAGAGGACAATACCTATCCTAGGCCTGCAAGTCATATATACTCAACACTAGACTCATGCCCAAATACAATCCATGTCCCTCGTAGTTGATCCTCTATAGCTTAATCCCTATATATATACATACATATTCATACATGTTTTCATAAGGTCCATATCCTCCTCATAAATATACTATTAAAAAAAGATAAAAAATTAATAAGAGGTAGGCAATGAGAGCAAGAGAGCAGTAGCAATAAGATATTGAAATAAGAAGAACTAGAGATAGGCATCATCAATGGATCTTCGATTGCTCCTCTTCTCTTAATATAGTCACCCTTTATCCATTTTACCTAGCCATTGTAACCATTTTATCAGAGGTGTTTTATCCCTTTTCATATGAGGGCAGATGTGATTAACAATGTCTTTATGGGTACCTTGAATTGTATTACCTAGATAGAAAAAGCGTTAGGTAAATACTTTTAAGAGCGGCGTTTTAAAACTCGGCCTCGGCCACGAGTTTTAGGCAAGTTAGTTGTACATAAGTATTTAGTATTTCCGAAAAGGGTGTGGTTTTTATAAGGTTGCAACATTAAACAATCCAATTAAGACGTACCTCCAAATTTTATCATAGCATGTGATTTTCGAGTAAATAATTCTTAGGATTATCTCAAAATCTATTTTCATTTCTCATTATAAAATTTTAAACACCAAAAATGATTAAAAACAAGTACATCAATAAACATATCAAATATTGAAAATGGACAGTCTAGATAATATATTGCAAGATACACTATTTCTACGACTCAAAATCTTTAATTTTGTTTTTTTCATATTCATACATTAGATATTGAGATGATCAATTAGAGGGCTTTTCAACATTAAAATAACCTTTTTCGATAGAGCTTTGAGGTGCATCTGTAATTCTACATTTTATGGTTACAACCTTATATAAAATTTTTCCTTCTAAAAATTCACATAAGATGTCATCATGAATGAGTGAATTCACATTCACGAGTGAATTCTACTCCAACGAGAAAGTTTGAATCCTGCCCCTTCACACTTTTTTCCCTCCCGTCACCCTTTCTTAATGTTGGTGTTCAACCTTGGAACAAAAAAAAATCAACACCCGACAGGAATCAAGATCAAGACATCCTATAAAGAGCCCCTCCAACATAGATCAAACCAACCAACACATTATTTCTTATTTTGTTTATAAAAGAGGCACTTATGTCATATAACTATTGTTTTTATTCATTTTTTGTAAAAAAAATGAACTAGATTCGAACGAATTTCACAGACTCGCCCGAATAACTCACCACTACCAAGTTCTTAGTACTTTGGCGTAATCGATTTTTTTTAACACTCTTTTGTCTAAGAGTGCTGATTGCAAAAGCCTGTCTAAAATCAATCAATACTCGGACAAGCGAGTTACTTGGACTTGCCCAAATAACTCTCTTCGACAGACCCCAGTACCTTGACCGTATCATTTTTTTAACGCTGTCTAAGAGTGTTGATTACTTTTTTGCAAAAGCCTGTACTATCCAGTTTTCTTTTACATACGCATTCAATATTCTTGGTGTATTTTAATCACCCTTCATAGAAAACCAAACATCTGTAGGAAAGCTTTCTGATTATTAAAAGAAACGTCTGATTATTAATGCCCGTCAAAGTCCTTATAAGCACTTCTCTCTCGGCTCAAGAGTGCTCGGTCTTAAGCTTTTTACGGTCGGAAAAGCTTCTTATACTCTCTCTACAGTATAACAGAACTATCATCTCCTCCTTTTTAACTGTTGACTTGAAATGAGTGGCTGATATCATTTGAGTAAAATTGTCACAAAAACAGGTTCACGGGCTCAATTGGTTGCCTAAAATTTTTCTTTGGTAAAATGGAAGGAGAAAGCTCCCTATCTCTCCTCTCTCCATCTCCTTCTCATCCTATGAGGACGATAGAGGGAGTTTTCCCTTCTCTATGAGACCCAACTGCTCTCCTTTCTTTCTCACAGAAGCTCTGTAGACCCAACGGCTCGCTCTCTCTCTCAAACCTCATCTCTCTACAGACCCTCGTTTCTCTCTAACTAACCATAGCGAAGCTCTCTCATCCTCGACGAGCAAGAACTAGATGAACCTGTGGGAGCAAGAGTAGCAACCTCTCAATCAGTAAGTTATATATAGTAGTTTTTTTTTTTTTTCTTACTAATTTTAGGTTTTTGGTTTTTTTGTTAGGAAACCCTGTAAAATTTTTAGGGATTTCTTTATATTTATCTATTTTAAATCTGCTGTAAAAAAATTATATCCCTTTCCCAATATTCCTCTATTGTAAATCTCTTCGATTTCATTCTATTTTTTTGTTTCTTGCTCCATTTATTTTCATAAACAAGGGAAGAAGATAATCTGATTTATTTCATTTATTCTCAAGAATTCTCCCCCCTCCCGTGACTCACGTATTTCTTCCGCCCCTCCTCTCTCTGTCTCTCTCTCTCTCTCCTTAACTCCACCATTTATGCTTCTTTGTTAAAAGATCGAGAGCTTATTGTCACTGAAATGAGGTTTGAAATATCCCATTGTTACTTGTTTGAGAGTTGAACATGACTCTATGACAAATTGAAGTGTATGAAATGCTCTCTCTCTCTCTCAAACAATATTGTATAACAAAGATGTGCATGTTCCATTTCTCTTTTTGGTTGTCCTTTTTACTCCATTGTTAAAATTTCTACACTCACTGTCACTTAATTATTTTGCATTTTGGTTTTGTATTTGCTGAAACTTGACTATGAGAATTTGCTTAATCGTGTGTGTGATTTGTGGTATTCTTCCATTCAATAGAAAATGGATTTGGTTGTTGATTTAATTACATTAGTGAGGTGTGGCGAAGCCAAACATATGTTCATATTGTTAATTGATGCTATAGAAAGCCTAAGACATATCACTATTCACAAGGAGATTTTCTTATACTTGACCTGAACAATGGCATAGTGACATAGAAGTATTTTCTCATTTTCTATGAAACCTCCCAAAGTTGATTTCTTTGTATTGAGATAGCTGAAAAAAAAAAAAGGACGAGCTTTTGGAGATTTGTAACATCTAAACAAAGGTTGACATGCTTATGTTGCATTCAGTTTATGAAGAATGAGTTTGATAGTATTCTTTCTTTTTTCATGGTGTTTGCTACACAATTTCAGCATTTACTTTAGGAATCCTATGAGCTTTGTATGACCATAGTAGTGTTCACTTTATAATTTTATGCGCTTTGCATTCCTTCCCCATGAATTCTATGAGCTTCATATGACCACTCGATTAGGACATATTTTTTTGCAACATTGTTGCTTGGAATCCT